TAAGTTAACCAAAATGCCTCTGGGAATTACTGCTGCTGCACAGCCCTTCTACAGATGCCACTGCAATGCAGATTGTCACTTGAAAGCCCCAGTTTAGCTTCTAGTGTTTGAAAACATTCAACGTTAGTTTTTCCTCACTGTCTCAATACCTTTGTCCTTGGTGTGCTGGGTCTCTGCTGCACAGACAACATCAGTTGGGCCCAACTATGTGGTATAAATCTGACTCATATTTATAAATAATGCCTTATGAATTAGGCATATGCCCTCTGCACAGAACAGGTGCAAAATGGGCTCACTTCCAGGAGCATTAAAAACCAGGGTAAAAAGTCATTTAGCCACAATATTTAGTGCAGGAATAAGGGGGGAAAGGCGGTGTTGTATTTAGATTTAGGACTTTTGTAATTTTAAATTGAAGGAGGAGCAGTAAAACATTCTGAGAGTTATCTTGGATAACATTTGACCTCCACAGCATAAAACAGGATTACATTTGAGAGGCTGCTATTGGAATTACAGTATGCAAATACTGAGTAGTTTAGGATAGTAGTAGCAATAAATTCAGGTCTGCCTTGATGAGCCTCTCACTTCAATGGATTGTCTTAAAAGTAATGGAGAATAAATCCTGAGAGAAAGCTTTAAAATGTATTTTTATTTATTAAGCATAATTGAGAGATGATCATTATTTATTTTAAGGGTTTTGCTTTTCCAAGGCTCTGATTTAGGAAAACGCTTACCTATATGTTTAAGTCTACCGCAATCTACTGCAGTAGGCCTCACAGTATGGGAAGGAGGTGGGCAGCTCTCACTGGAGAAAGAATAGGCTAAGAACTATTTAGAAAAGCTAGACATACACAAATCCATGGGTCTGGATCTAATGCATCTGAGGGCACTGAGGGAGTTGGCATATGTCATTGCAGAGCCTTTGGCCATTATCTTTGAAAACTTGTGGAGATTGGGAGAGGTCATGTATGATTGGAAAAAGCAAATGTAGTGCCCATCTTTAAGAGAGGGAAGAAGGACAATCCAGGGAACTACAGACCAGTCAGCCTTACCTCAGTCCCCAGAAAAATCATAGAGGGGATCCTCAAGGAATCCATTTTGAAGCACTTGGAAGAGGGAAAAGTGATCAGGAATAGTCAACTTGGATTCACCAAAGGCAAGTCATGCCTGACCAATCTGATTAGCTTCTATGATGAGGTAACTGGCTCTGGGGACATGAGGAAGTCAGTGGATGTGATATACCTTGACTTTAGCAAAGCTTTTGATATGGTCTCCCACAATATTGCCAGCAAGTTATGGAAGTATGGATTGGATAAATGGACTGTAAGGTGTATAGAAACCTGGCTAGATTGTCAAGCCCAACGGATAGTGATCAACAGCTAGATGTCTGGTTGCTGGTTGGTTTCAATGGGAGTGCCACAAGGATCGCTTCTAGGGCTGCTTTTGTTTAACATCTTTATTAATGACCTGGATGAGGGGATGGATTGCACCCTCAGCAAGATTATGAAAGACACTAAGCTAGGGGGAGAGGTAGATATGTTGGAGGGTAGGGATAGGGTCCAGAGTGGCCTAGAGAAATTGGAGGTTTGGGCCAAAAGATAAGGGACAAGTGCAGAGTCCTGCACTTGGGATGGAAGAATCCCAAGCATGGTTACAGTCTGGGACTGACTGGCTAAGTAGTACGTCAGCAGAAAAGGACTTGGGGATTATGGTGGATAAGAAGCTGGATATGAGTCAACAGTGTGCCCTTGTAGCCAAGAAGGTGAGGCCACATCTGGAGTATTGCATCTAGTTCTGGGCCCCGAAGTATAGAAAGGATGTGGACACATTGGAGAGGGTCTAGTGGAGGGCAACAAAAATGATTAGGGGGCAGGAGCACATGACCTATGAGGAGAGGCTGAAGGATTTGCGCTTATTGAGTCTGCAGAAGAGTAGAGTGAGGGGGGATCTGATAGCAGCCTTCAACCTGAAGGGAGGTTCCAGAGAAGATGGAAAGAGGCTATTCTCAATAATGACCAGATGGAAGAACAAGGAGCAATGGTCTCAAGTTACAGTGTGGGAGGTCTAAGTTGGATATTAGGAAAAGCTGTTTCATTGTGAGGGTGGGGAAGCACTGGACTGGGTTACTTAGGGAGCTGGTGGAATCTCCATCCCTGGACAAAGTCCTGGCTGGGATGATTTAGTTAGGATTGGTCCTGCTTTGGGCAGGGGGCTGGACTCGATGACTCCTGAGGTGTCTTCCAGCCGTAGGATTCTATGTTTCTAAGTCCATCCTAATTCACAACAGCCCTTAAGCACATGCTTAAATAAGTTTGGTTCTGAATAAGGATGCTTCCCTGAGTGGAACCCTAGCTTGAAAAAACAGTTACTAGGAAAGACCAGATCTGGTTTTGATTCTTGGAACATAAGGCCCAGGGACTGGATTTGGCCCTCAGCTTGTCTGGTTCCAGCCCCCTAGGCTTGGGGTTCCCCCCAGCATTGGGTAGCCCGCACTAGTGCTCCCTGCCATCCCTCCTTGGTGCTGGAGCACATAAAATCTACTAGCCTGAGCCCCCCTAAGCTCTGGTGTGCAAGGGGAACATGGGCAGTGTCTTTCTCCTTCTCAGTCAGGGACCACATCAGTGAGGGTTTGCTTTTTTGTTTTGTTTCTTTGTTTCTCCTTGCACATGGCTAGAAGTAGCAACTTGGGGTGGGTGGGGAATGGCAGTGACTCCAAGCCCACAGGGGCTGGGAACTGGCAGCTCAGCACTTGACTAGAAGCAGCTGGTCTGGAGCAGCCCCTGCCCGGGGCATGGTTCCACTCCAGTCCTGTAGGGGGTGCTGGGCTGGAGCATTCCCACCCTCTGTTTAATCAGTTAACTGGTCAAACAATGTTTAACTGGTTAATCAGTTGACTGAATAAACTTAACCAGGTGGCTAATTAAATGGGATTTTACATCTCTAGCTGAAAATTGACACTTGTCTAATTTAACAATTCTCTGAGGTGGAAATTCTCTGACTGTTAGAAAGAGAATGGTTTAGTAACTTGTAAAAAGGAGAAATTAAAACATGATGCAGCGAATACAAATGGGTTTGCAGTATAAAGGGTATCTGTTCCAATATAGAAATGGCAAAATCTGTCTTTCTTCTAATAGGAGAATGAAGAGGAACCTACTATGATTTGAAACTCAGTCCTCACAAGGAAACTTTGGCCCTTTAGATAAATATTTTCTAGTCCTGCCAGTACAGCTACACTTTATTTTATACACTAAATGGTACCATTTTCCTTCTTGATGCAGACAGTGTTAATTGGATCAGTACACCTGTGTCAACCTCCTTCTGCATTGCTGATTAATTTTAAATTGATTCATTAGAGACTTTTGACACAGCTATTTCCATTGTTGCTTTAATCTTTATCTTATTTAGCAAAATTCAAGAATATAATCAAAGACCTGTGTATTCCATATTTCTGTAGCTGCAGAAATTGCTCTGGAGTGTGGATGTTGTGGCTTGGACTCTGAACTCACCTCCTTTCGCCCCCAGACTTCTAGGCTTGAATGCCCAATCTCCAGCCTGAGAGGCACAGTGTCCATATTGCTATTTTGAGCTTTCAGGCTGATGTCCCTAGCACAAGTCCCTGGGGATATGTCTACACTACCACCCTAGTTCGAACTAGGGTGGTAGTGTAGACATATCCCCAGGGACTTGTGCTAGGGACATCAGCCTGAAAGCTCAAAATAGCAATATGGACACTGTGCCTCTCAGGCTGGAGATTGGGCATTCAAGCCTAGAAGTCTGGGGGCGAAAGGAGGTGAGTTCAGAGTCCAAGCCACAACATCCACACTCCAGAGCAATTTCTGCAGCTACAGAAATATGGAATACACAGGTCTTTGATTATATTCTTGAATTTTGCTAAATAAGATAAAGATTAAAGCAACAATGGAAATAGCTGTGTCTTAGGGTATGTCTACACTACCACCCTAGTTCGAACTAGGGTGGTAGTGTAGACATACCCTAGCTTATGTCTCTAGCACTAACCTAGCTGGTAGTTAGCATAAAGCTAGCTACCACATCTGGGAGGTTTGCTCCTAGCTGCAGTGTAGACATATCCTAACTGTTCTCCAAAACCTCTGGCTTTCCTGAGACATCCTTGGAGATGCCATTAGGCACTGTATGCACACAACTTTGCAGCACTCTGAAGACCAAAAGTATGGGGACAGTGTAACGACATTGAATTTAATAGCAAAATATATAATTCAGGGGCTCTGTGTTGATTTTATGTCTCATATTCATATTTAGTTCTTTAAAAACTTTCATTTTTAATGGAGATGAAGCTGCTGCAGAATTCAGGATCACTGCTGCAAAATTTAGCTTCATTTTACCAAGGGCCTTGGTTATAATTTACTTGGTACTATTTAAATTATGAAAGTCTTGATACACATATAGATTTTTTAAAAGGATGCTTTTTTTGTTACAAATCATATTTTAAAAATACAATTGTTTATACCTACTCCATCACTGATAACTTAGACTAATACAAAGAAAAAAAATGGATTTTATTGTAATATTTAGGATGTGTTTTCTCAGCATTGCCAAAAAATACACTAGTTCGTTTCCTTTTCTGGTCATACATAGCACAAAGTTGCAATATTTGGGATGCAAGCTTTGCAATATTTGGGACACAAACATTGCAATTTATTTGATTTTAAACAGCCACACCCACTAGAATGTTTTTAAAAAGGCATGAAAACATTTTTGATGTTTAGTTTCATCCTTTGTTTTTACAAAGCCTAGTTTTTGGCCTATATTTCCTGTATTAACAATGTCTCCATTAACCATAGCTTTTTTGCACAGTTGATAAATGAGGTGGAAGGAGAGCCAAAGGAAAAGAATGTAATACATATTGCATAAAAATGTTCAGCACAGAATTTAAATGTTGCTGTATCATCAGCAGATGGCAGCAGTAAGCCACGGAAATAAACACTGACAATTTTATAAACCCTGTGTTATGTCTGTTTTTGCAGGGATTTTAGTACCAGTGTGAATAACATTCATGTTAACAAAACCAAACCTGTGTGGCACAACTACTTTCTCTGTGGTTTGAAAGGAGTTCAGGTAAACCAAACCATTTAACACATACAGTATTTATTATATGTACTATATTTTAAGATTAAAGTATGATATGTGTATATTATATCATATATTTATAAAATATATATTTAATTGGGCACCTTTTACTTATAAACCTTAATTTTCACCATAATTTGTAGCTGTCTTTTGTATCCTGTTAATTATAAGTACTTTTTATATTTATATTAACATTTGTAAAATATTTTTGTTTTGCTTGTTTGAGTATATTTACAGGACATAAAACCTATTTCAGATGTATTATATACATTATATCCAGAGCAGTGTACTAATTTATTGGTGTCATGATCAAAGTCATTGACTATTTCAATGCACATTTTTCTACTTTAAAATTAGATACATTGCTCAACAGAGCCACATGCTTATGGTTTATTTTAAAAAGGAGCTTGAGGGTTGGAAATAGAGAACCTAAAATAATATTTTTCCTTTTCTCTGTCCCCCAGTGAAGACTATTTTAAAATGTACATAATTCCTAGGAGTATAGAAAGACACACAGACTTCCCCCCTGTCCCGTGAGTTCATGAGAATCAAATAGTGAAATTGGTTCTATTGCACATGCTAGGCACAAGGAAATGTGAATGCCTCCAACCCTCAGAACAAACTGAATAAAGCAAGCAAACTAAATTTGTTTTTAAAAAGTTTCAGTTGCAATAATGAACTATATAGCTTTACAGGCTTTACAGTGTATGTTTTTGGGTGAGTTTTTGAAAAGCTCACAATCACTTAAAAGCTAAGTACCACTGGAAGTCATTGTACGCTTGACTCAGGTGCTTTTGAAAGTAGCACCTTTTTATCTTAACTATGCCTTTTAAAAATCATACTTGATTCAGAAAGAAACATTAGCTCTTTATTAGGCTAGGAATAAAAATGTGCTGTGAGTCCATCTACTTCTGAAACTTTGACAGATGGTGAATGTTTAATTCAGTAGTTCATTTAGCACCTTTAAAATGTGTTGCACTATATAGTCTTAGTAACAAACTGTTCTCATTATGATCTAAAATTCCTATGTTACTGTCCTGTATGTTTCAAGCCCCAACTGGTGACTCATATTTGTAGTAATGTGAACATTTTCAATCTCTGAATTACTCCACAAGTAAAATATTCACTTAATTTGTATTTACTTTGCAAATTTAAGCTAGCTTTCCTTACAGTAATATGGCTTAGAAAAACATGACCTAAGTGACCTTGCATATTTTGGGGTCTGTTTCTGAGAGTTAGGTATTAAAAACAATTTTTAAACTTGATGGTTAATATGTAAAGCAGGTTTGTATACTCTAATGCTGGCAGAAAATAAGCATAAATGCTACACACTCTTAAGAAACATTCAAATGCAAGCCCTAAGAAGGTCCCTGCGGATAATCTGTTTATATGAAATTGAACATGTTATCCTTTTGGGATAGAACTATTGCAGAACTTGGCAAAGTCCATTTTCATTTCTGAAACTGGAGTAAGTTTTTTATTTAAACATTGCGTGATAAGTTTGCAAGTCTGATTCACATTGAAGAGAATCCTGTGGATCAGTTTCCGGTTAAATATATTACTCAAGTATTTTTTTTTAAACAAGCTTGTCTGATGCTGTGCATGAAAGGGCATTGGCAGCAGTAACATTTCAATTAATAATTTGTATTTCTGGAAAGGGAATTTTTAGATGATTCGTAGTAATGAAAGAACACATTCAACAAGATTTGTTTTCTTATATGCTGCATGAACTCTGCCCTTATTGTCTACAGTTAGCTTTATTTCAAGAGCAGTTACAGATTTTTTTTTTTTTTTTTTTTTGAGGAAGGGAGGGCAACTTTTTTTCTGAGAAATCGTGGCATTTTCTGGTCATTGCAATGGTTACGTAAATCTGCATTGGCACAAATTCATATAACTAAGTATTAATACCATTTATGTAGGCGATATTTTGGTTGGTACAGTTTGTTGTTTAGTTTGAACCAAAGTGAACTAGAGAGTATATAAAAATTTGTTATGAAGGAAGAGAACTAAAACATTTAAAAAGTAAGAACAGAATACATTCTACATACAGAGTTTTGGTATTGATGAATGAAATATTCATATATGATATTTATCCTTTGAGAGTCACCTTTTGAGCCACACTGACATTTCTGATGTTGTACCTTTTCTATAAGTAGTATGATAGTCATTAAAAAGCATAATGGCCTCACATAAGCTGGTGAATTTAGAGTTAGGAAAGGTCATCTCTCATTGAATAAATATTTCTCATATTACACTGCCTACTATTCTTTACTGTTTGCATATAATTAGTGTATAGGCTTTCTACCAAGTGACTTCATAATATTGTATATATGGTTATAATATAAACTTCTTTCCCCCCTACTTGCTAATACAGTTTCATACCAATAAAATTAATATTAACCACAAGCGGTAGGAATGCAATCCAAACCAAGGAAAGAATAGATTAAAGAATATCTAGGTAAATTAGATGTATTCAAGTTGGCAGGGCCTGAAGAAATTTATCCTGGGGTACTTAAGGAACTAGATGAAGCAATCTTGGAACAGTTAGGAAGTATCTTTAAAAAGTCCCAGAGAACAGATGAGGTCCAAGATGATTGGGGAAGGGCAAAATTAGTACCTGTCTTAAAAAGGGAACAAAGAATTACATATCTGCCAGCCAAACTTCAATTCCTGGAAAGATACGAGAACAAATTATTAAACAATGAATTTGTAAGCACTTGGAGGATATGAGGGTTATAAGGAATACCTGCATGGATTTGTCAAGAACAAATCATGTCAAACCAAACTGATTTCTTTTTTTGGCTAGGGTTACTGGCATAGTGGATATGAGGAAGCAGAGGATGTGATATATTTTTATTTTAGTGAGGCTTTGACTCAGTCCCACATGACATTCTCAAAAGCAAAGTAGGGAAATGGGGTATAGAAGAAATTGCTATCAGGTGGATGCACAATGGTTCTCTGTCAAAGGAGGAAAGCATATGTAGTGGGTGGGGTGTTGCAAGGGTCAGTCCAGGATCCGGCACTGTTCAATTTTTTCATTATTGACTTAGATACTTGATTGGAATTCTTATAAAATTTGCAGCTAACACAGAGCTGGGAGGGATTGCAAGCACTTTGGGGGACAGGGATAAGAATTCAAAGTGACTCTGAGAAATTGGATAATTGGTCTGAGTTCAATAAGATGAAATTCAACTGAGATGAGTGCAATGTACTGTCCTTAGGAAGAAAAAAAATCAAATGGAGAACTACAATGTGAGGAATAGCCAGCTAGGTGGTAATGCTGCTGAAAAGGATCCTGGAGTTATAGTGGATCACAAACTGAATATGTGTCAACAGCTGCAAAAAATCTGCTTTCATATGAGGTGTACTACTCAGAGTGTAAGTGAAGTGTAAGACATCGGAGGTAACTGTCCTGACCACTCAGCACCAGTGAGGCATCCTGTGTCCTGTTCCTAATACCTCACTATAGGAAAGATCTGATTAGATTGGCAGGAATCCAGAAGAGAGCAACAAAAATAATTCAAGGTTTAGAAAAACTGACCTATAAGGAACAGTTAAAACAATTGGGCATGTTTAGTCTTGAGAAAAGAAGGTGGGAGTGTGTGTAGGAATGGGATAATAAAATCTCCAAATATGTTAAGGGCTATTGTCAAGTGGACAGGGATCAGTTGTTCTCTGTATCTGCTGAAGGGAGAACAAGAATTAATGATCTGAATCTGCAGCAAAGGACATTTGGATTAGATATTAGGATAAACTTTCTATCTGGAAGGCTAGTTAAGCTCTGGAATAGGCTTCCAAAGGAGTTTGTGGAATCCTCATCATTGGAGGGTTTTAAAACAAGTTGGAAAAATGTCTGTCAGGGATAGTTTACTTGATCCTGCCACCATGCAGGGAGCTGGATTTGATGACTTCTCAAGAATCCTTTCAGCTCTACATTTCTCTGATTCTATTTTTGATGTATGTTTGAATCAGGGAATTTGCCTTCCTACTCACTGTCCCTGTCTGGGCTGCATGCAAAACTACCATATGGCCAAAATGTCTCTTAAATTCCAATTTTGCTGGGATCTTCTGCAAGTTGCAGAATGCTTTCTCTGGAAGTATCTTATAGTAGGAGTCCCTACATTTGGGGACTAATTTGACATCACAGGGCATGAGTCACAACTGAAGAGTGTCTAGAGGTAGCAGTAGCAATGAAAATCCACAGTTTTGAGCTTTAGCGCCTCTTATAATTTAGTGAAAACTATAATTGGCTATTTTTCCTTTCAATTCAGAAATATTAGTGATAGCTGAGCTGTAGAACAGTTTCAGCTTGTCTGAAAGACCTCAGAAATTCTCTGTTGTTTTCAGATTAAGCATGCAAATTATCAGGTCTAAAATAATATTTTTAAGTGAAGAGGGGCTATCAAAATATAACCAAAAAGGTGAAATGGTCTTAAAATCTTATATTTGTGCACTTCTCATCTGAGGTTTAGTCTCGGTTTTTAAGGACCACCCTTCATGGTGACAGCAAACAACACATTAGTTCAACAACAGAAATCCATGGGATAATTGAAAGTCTAAGGCGGTCTGTACTTGATACTCAGATTGTTTATTTTTTCATTGTTAGGAACATTTCGGTCTTAATAGCCCAACTGGAATGAATTGTCTGTTAGATGGAACCATCCCACCAAGTTCTGGTCTGTCTAGTTCCAGTGCCTTGGTATGCTGTGCGGGACTTGTGACACTTACCGCGAATGGAAAGACCCTTTCAAAGGTAATTTACTGTAAAACCCAAGAGTATAAACTGTAAAATGCAACTTTAAATATTAACATCTATAAACTTTAAAGACACAATGCAATTGTTTTTACAAAGAACTGTTGGATATAAACTTAAAATATTGCACAAGTGAGGAAACATCTTTGGCCAAATTTTGGCAGGCTTTACATTTGGCAAGGAAACAGGCATACATTAAAGCTGCAGAAAGAGAATTATTGTAAGCCTGTATTTTGGCCAACTCGAGTCTCACACATGGCCATCCATGGACCAGATGTAATCTCTGCAAGCCAGGATTGAGCATATATGTTCTAAAACATGTGGATCACACCCTTTGACCCTTATACTCCCTCCCTGAATGACTTTCCATGGCTCTAGTAGCAAAGCATCAGTTGAAAGCCTGTGGAGCAGTTTCTTAATGGGTTATAGTTAAGACAAAATAGGAATAGAAATCTTCCATCACACTCTTCCCCCTGTTTTGAAATGAACCCATGTACAGTCCACATGCAAAATTTAGTCCTCAATTTTTAAACAAATATTTTTCCTCAAAAACAAACCTAGTATACATGAATTGTTGCTACTAAAACTGTTAGTAGACTTTCATCCATGTGTCAAAACACTTCTGCAGTGGTCCTGGTGCTTGAAAGTACCATATGGAGCAATAAAGTTCAGTCTGGTAGAAATGTCTGGGTAGAATCTAGAATCTTACATCTTTTCTTTTCCTAAAGTAAAAAATATTATTTACATTTGTGCCTGTTGCCTAGTCATTGTAACTAGTGTATTCACATTCCATACCAGAAAATGAGTCTCAGAAATGATCCATAAATCTGACAGAAATAAAAAACCCTGAACTTTATTAGTAGAAATTAGTAACTTGTCCACCAAGAACAGGCATGCTGTGTGCTAAATAATGCTGTTACATCTCTGTTAAGAAAAAATAAGTTACAGTATGTGTCTTTGCCTGGATGTTCATGTAAACTCACACATGGCCTTGGAGTTTAGTTCTGCATCATGCTAAACCTGTTGTGAAGAGGTTAGCCAAGAGCAAAATGTATGGTTGTGAGTGATAGCACTGATGAGGTCCATGGCAGCAATGCTCTCCTCTAGCACAACGTAAGAGGTTTATAGCATGGTAGAAAACAAGAAGCCTGGTGCCAAAGGCAAGGTTTTGCATCTAGCACAGAAAGCTTTTTATAAGTCCATTGGCCTAGATTCTCTGCTGCACCATGCTTATGTTTGGATCTGGGGAACTCTGAGCTCTAGCACAAAGTAAAGCACTCTTGGCATCTTAGACCTAATGAACTGTTTACCAGCTCAGTATAAAATATGTTGTGGCACCTCCCCTTCCTGCCCTATAGTCCGCCCTGCACGTGGACCAAGTGGTGGGTGTTGTAGGGGCCAGCAATACCAGCTGTGTACCAGCTGGGAGCTTCCCTGTGCCAGGGGATTTTTCAGAGGAGTGTGTTCCAGAATCTCAACACTTCCCAGACCTGAACTTTTCAGGATATCTCTATTTATGTATTTCATTTTTTGGAGGGAAAAAATCCCCCAAAGAAGACATTGTTAATGTAATTAACAATCCTAAAGTAATCAGTAACTCTTAGTGAAAGTTGCCATACCGACCCCCTTCTTCAAAGAATTACCTGTAACAGAAATGACAACTGCAGATAATTTAAGTTGCAGTGTTTTGTCATCAGTGTGGACTATTTTGGTAAGGTTACAAGAAAAGGTTGACTTTTTGCCCCATTTGATGGGTATTGCTAAGCCTTAAAACACATGCTTTGCTGAAGCAGAGTACAGAAACTTTTGGCTTCAGCATAAGATTTGGCTGTATAGTAGGAGTTCTGTGGCCAAAGTTCTGGAATTTTGACCTTTTGCTGAATGGAACAGTTATCTGTTTTCTTGATGCAAAACTATTTTTATGAAGATACTTTGATTTATAGTTCTCTTTTTCCTGGTATTGAGAGTTTTAAATACTGTAATGGACTGAAAGTAAAAGTAACTGGAAATTAAAGCGATCTTATGATACTCTCCCTTAGCATGAGGCTTTGTTTCTGTAAGATAAAGAAAAGAACTAGAGTACAAAATGGAAGTGCTGTGCAGTCATAATTAGGTTTTAGTGCTAGCTTTCAAAAATAGCTTTTTTTTTGGTAGAGATTACAATTTAGCTCAGAAAAAAATGCTGTCACTAATCATTGTGTGTAAAAAGGGCATTGTTTTAGTTTGCCTAGAATTATTTTAAAAATCACACAGAATAGTTTAGGTTGGGGTGGATAATAATATTTGGCCAGGATCCAAAACATTTTTGAAGTGGCCCTGGGCTGCCCTGGAAGGGGTGAGGCCTAAAATGGAAGGGGCGGGGCCAGAATGCATCTGGGGCTTCCCTACCCACAGTCCATGATTGGTCTGGGGGTGGATGAGCCTCTTTTACCCCCCTTACCACTAAGCATCCATGCCACTGGCATGACAGAAAGAGGCTTTGCACGCTCCCCACCTCAAGGCCAATTAGAGCCTGGAGGCAGGGGAAGCCCAAAAAGTTTCCTCTGTCCTGCTAGGAGCACATGGCACTTTTCTAAGTGCCACATGCTGCTTGCAGGGCAGGGGCAGGGCAGGGCAGGGGAAACTTTGTGCACTACCCGGCCCCCAAGCTCTGAGTGGTCTGGGGCGGATTAGCATGTGAAGCTTCCTCCCACCCTGCAAGGAGCACACGGCACTTTGAAGTGCTGCGCGTGCCTCGCAGGGCAGGGGTGGGGCGGAGGAAACTTTGCACACTCCTCCTGCCAGTCAGAGTTTGGGGGCGGGTGAGCACGTAAAGTCTCCTGTCACCCTGCCAGGAGTGCGCGGCACTTCAAAGTGCTACGTGCTCCTGGCAGGGCGGAGGAAACTTTGTGCGCTTCCCCCGCCCCGACCTTAATTGGCCTGAGGGTGGGGGAGCGGCAGGGCCTCCGCGGGCCGGATCAACCTGCTTGGCGGGCCAGATCCAGCCTGCGGAGACCCTTTTGCCCACCCCTGGTTTAGGCAAAATACCAGTCCAAGTCAATTCAACCAGCTATGCAATGTTAACTAGTTGCAGTACACAAATATTCAACTTTTAAGATAAAAAAATTTAAATTACATGTTTAAAAAGAATTAATCTCTTCTATAGCAAACTTCTAGTCCAACACTACACTAGAATAATACAAAGAATGCTAATGCTCAGTTATATCATTTGATTTTAAAATAATCTTTAGGTTATTAGGAATACAGAGCCTCTTTAACACAGCTTTTCAACATGAGAAAAGTCTTGTCAGCAGTGGAAGCAGAGTGATGTTTTTAATTGTCCTACCATCATGTTTTCTGCTAAGAATTTGTGAACACAGTAGTTTAGCTAGTACATCTCAATACTTAGATTTATTTGAGTGAACTGACTCTGGTGTTGTGCTGAAAATATGTGGTCTTACTGTACTCAGGTTTGTGAGGCCGCCTCTGCATTTTTTCCATTGCTTAGAGTTGGATGGCTAAATAAATGTTTATCACCTATGTAAACTAAGAAAAAACATATATAGTGTAGAGTAAACAAGAGAAACACTGAGGGGCTGAGTCTAAACAACATTTGGGTACCTTCTTAGAAAGAGCATTTACAGAGGTTTGATGGAGGTTTGATAAGAGGCCCAAATCTACTCAGCATGACGTCATTGAAATCCGTGGGAGCTTTGCCAGTGGGAGCAGGCCTAATGCAATATGTTTATATTTATTAATTAGGGGGCCTAAATCAATTCCATGATGTTAATAGAAAGATCCCCACTGACTTGCATTGGATTAGGCTCAAATAAATTACATAAAATGAGATATCAGCCTTGAATTCCAAAAGGCTCCAGGATTGGATTTATACAATGGAATGCATGAAACCTACACTTGGTCACACAAATGAGGTAGTTGGAAGTGCAATTATTTTCATACTGTAGTAGTTGGGTGCAAATTTGTAAAGTCACTTCCAAAAATGTAGTTCATGGATTTAAACAAAGATATTTTTTCATATGAATTGTACTTAGTAAAGAATGAATGGAAGCGCTTTAAATCATGAGTCACTTTTGAAAATGTGTCACCATTAGAAATAAGGATGGGAAAAGGTGAGCTGGTTTGTGAAGACCATTGTGTTCCCCTCTTTTGCAATGCAGCACATTGGGAAAAGACACACAGGAAAAAAGCTTTGCACATTAGAATTTTATTCTTGTAGCTCAGGTTAATAGCGCACACAGCATGAAGTGTATTTATTTTAAGTGCATTATTTTAATCTTGGATCCAGTGTTTCAGATAATTAAATGTTGTTTTAGAATAGAAAACACTGGGGGTTTGAGCTGGCATTGCTAGCATTCGTTAAGGATTTATTTTATGTATGAAGACAATCAGAATGTTGAAGTATGACACTTTCTGATAATTTTCACAGTAATTAATTGTAATTTCACAGAAAACCTTATGTGGTAAGCAGCAGGAGTGGACAAGTGCTCAGAAAGCAAAGGTTCTCTGTCATGGTAATGACCTTAATATCAAGGAGAGAGGAATATGAAATGGAAGTTAGGGAAACCAAATTAAGTGTTGCGATTGTTTTACATTGTGTACTGTAAATGACTAGCTTAATGGTTTATAAAAAAAGAAAAGCACACAGGCGCAGCATGTGAAAAATTCCCATCTGTGCAGGTCTCTCAGTGCTTAAAAATGATAGCATAGCTTTGAGTCTTTGGTCACAAACAGGCCAGCAGGAGTTCAAATTAGAGAAGTAAGGAAACAAACAATACCCCAAGTTTATAAAAGCCAGTCACATTTAGAGTAAAATAACAGTGAGGTGAAGGTTTCTGGGAATATGCACTCAAAGGATCTTGGTCTTCTCCCACACAGCTCATCATGTCATATTTAATAAAGTGAAAAACTTTGGAGGCTTTAGAACACATAAAAGTAAGCATAAGTACATTGCCCACAGGACTACCACACAGATCAGTGTAAACAAATTGAAACATTTCTGC